ATACTTTTTCCCTGTGCCATTCCACATTATTACAAATAACTTCATTTCTGGACATTTATGGTTTGATTTCTTTGTATGTATGGATCACTTGGGTTGTGACCAACATCTGAGAAAATTTCATATCATTAGCACCTCTAGTAAAATATTTACTGAGAAAAATGGTGACGTGTTCAACACCTTTTTTTACCCGCTCAATATCCGCCTGGATCATGGTGTTTGCAAATGTACATTGTGGAATTGAACATGTTGATATGAACTTTATTCATCCTAGTTGCTGTCTTTCATTATATCTTAAATAAATACAAAATAATAAAAACTACAATGTTACATTCTAATGAAAGCTAAAGATTAGTTTGCAGCACTGACCACACACATGATTCAAAATTACTACTTAAACAGAATAAGCTGAGTTATAACAGTTTGACTATAATCACACTTCATTTACTTTAAGAACAAAACAATATTTAAAACAATATAAATATGATGTATATGTTTTAGACTCTTTGTAAACAATTTGGACTGTGACATCTTGGTCCAATATCATTCCCTGACAACCAACCTTGGCCCAATGACCCCACTCTTCCCCTGTCTACATGCAGAGATTGTAAACTATGACCAGGTCCCACATCCCAAGACTCCAGATGCTCGACTCTGGTCGCAGGCTTTGGTCTGGGTTTAAGTAGAGGGGTGGGGGGTGGGGTGCATTAGCCAGCTTGGACAGCCCTGAGACAAACGAGGTGTTTTGAGCCGAGTGCAGCTGCTCCCGCTGTGCAACTGCCGCTGTCACCACACACACAAACCTACACACACACACATATCCGCACACAGAGCTCTAATAAATCACCACACAGGACTCAGTTGGCCAGGCTGTGCTCACCCAGTGTTAAAAGCCAATCAAGAAAATTACATGCAAACTCCAAGGGACCTATTTTCACTTTCTTAAGAAATCATTAGTCAATGTTATGAGCTCTGACATCTCCATAATACCATTGCCGTCTGTTGCAGACCCAACGGCCATTTCCCTCCCTGCCCAGAACTGACAACTGTACATGTGCTGCCCTGCTTCCCCGCAGCCCCTTGGGAGAATGTGGTCCCAACAAARGAGATGGGCCCATGAGAGGAAAAAAGGAAAATAATAAAAAAATAAAGTGAAAACAAGGAAGAAAAAAATAGTGAGTATACTATACTATTACACATCACAAGTAGTGCCTTGAAAAAATAGTTAAAAATAAACTAATAATAATAATAATAATAATAATAATAATAATAATAATAATAATAATGATGATAAAGGAAATAAATGCTTGAGTTTTTGGGTATGCATATAACTAAAGATGGAACACAAAGATAATCCCTTTTCATCAACTGTTTCACACAATCTGTTCTTTTTTATGCTTGATCAGTTATGATAAATCGAACTTCATACATGAACGAAAMTGGAACTGCAATTAAAACATTCAAGCCTTGTGATCACAGTGTACAATGTATCATGACTAGAAAAGAGCCAAAGCTGCTGTATATTTAATTTAGTACAGTATGACATCATCTGTTAGCCTGAAAACCAAAAACCAAACAAGATAACTTATTATTACTTAAAAAAAATATTTTTCAAAATAAAGCTTTCACTTTGTTTTTGCTCAAAATAATTCCCAAAGAATCAGTTGCTTTTCAAGCTCTAAACCAACATATCCGGGCACATCGCATTGTGCTTGTTTACTTTCTTCAGTTTTGTCAATCCACAACAACACAATGAAAGATTCAGTGTCCCTACCTGGACGTAGTGTTTGCTGTGATTTTGAGGCTGCCAGGGTTGCGGATGAGTTTATCAAGAATGCTGACGATCTGTTCGAACTTTGGCCGATTATTTCGCTCTTTCTGCCAGCAGTCCAACATCAGCTGGTAGAGCATGGCAGGGCAGTCCATAGGCGGAGGTAGGCGGTAACCCTCATCTACAGCTTTGATTACCTACATACAGAACCAGACAATAATAAAGTCAGTTTTACTTTTATTTTGTTTTCAAATATAATCATCAGATTTATGCAGAGAGCAGAACTCTATAGCTCGCTAGCAGCCTCGCACCGAGGACCTATCCACGTCATCATTTACCCAGAATGCTTTGCGTGTAATTAAAATGGCCCCGTCTGTGTAATATATTTTTAAACTTTTAGTTTAAAAATGATAAAAACTGAACATCCTACAGCATTTTTACAGTCTTTATTTTACAGTTAAAATATATGTTTATTAATTAAAGTCTAATGTTACAACTAATCGTAGATCCCTTTAAAAAGTATGTGGATTTCATGGACTCAAAATGTTTATAAAGGAACTGTGCAAAACAAATTAATAAATTTGTAAGATGATTTTTTTAAGTTCTAGGATGCTACTTCAGCCAATAAATAAATAAATAAATAAATAAATAAATAAATAAATAAATTGCAAGTCTGCTGAAGCATAAAGACAATCCATTTATCTTTTTTTCTCCTTTCCTGAAAGTAAGCTAAGCATTTAATTAGTTGCTGATGATTCATTCTGCTTTGCACAAGCTTCTCTGATTGTAAAGGAATCCTTCATCCTACCAATGAAACCTCTGCAAAGCTGCCAGCACCCTGGGTGCACAATAGCAGCTCTTCCACTGAAAGGAAGTTTAGTGTCTACCCTCTCACAAAGAATGGCAAATTGGCAACACTCACATCCTGATTGGACATCTCCCAGTATGGCCGTTCCCCATATGACATCACCTCCCAGAGCACAATGCCATAACTCCAGGCATCACTGGCTGATGTAAACTTCCTGTAGGCTATGGCCTCTGGGGCCGTCCACCGGATGGGAATCTTTCCTCCCTGAGAGAAGTTAGAGAAAGATTAACTGAATTAGTCAACCAGTCAATGAAGATAGGTTAAATTTCTTACAGTAAATAACGTAATCCTGCTATCATTTACCTTGAAGAATTAACAATTGCAGATAAATAATACTACATCTGAAATATTCATTTAAAAAAATATTTGTATAGTTTGTGTTATCCGGCAAAGTTACAAGCTAAAATCCAGTTATGCTCCACAGCTTGAATGTTTGTATTAAAATTCCAGATCTAAATTGTTCCAAAAATGTTGTTCAAGTGCTCGAGTTCAATTAGAATATATTAGCGTCACCAGAGAGAAAGGAAAACACATAACTCCCATTTTAAACCAATGTTTCCTGTGTGACTTCTTACTGTGTGGCAAAAATGTGTTATTCCAACTGACAAGCAGGACAAATTAAGAAAATAGAGTTAAAGGAACGAGGCTGACAGCAGCCAAAGCTAACGGAGAGACTGGCCAAGTCGGTCATTTTTAGCCTCAGACTCTGCAGAAAGCTCTATTGCTATTTAACTTTCTTATACTGACTGATGTCTATGGGAACTTTAAGAGGCAAATGTGACTATAAAACACGCAAACAGAGAAATGGTTGCACAAATTATTTGTAGTGCACTGGCAAAGATACACAAACTGACAGCTTCCCACACTTACTTCAAAATGTGCAAAAATAAAATCACACACAGTGCATGTATATATAT